AATATACAATGCGCTTTTAGGTACTTATGCAATGGAAGGTTCTGGTAAAATGATATTGACCGCTGTCGGTGTGAACTCTCTCAACACGGGTATCATTATGACGCTTCTCGGTTCTGGCAAGCCAGGTATTGGTGGGGCAGACGACAATTCCACGTCAAGTAGGTCCTTTTCAAGCTCAATTCTGACATCGCAATCTCTCATTCCTACCGTAATCCTGACAACGTGCACTTCAGCTTCATCGAGTTCGTCCAGCTCTTCGTCAAGCTCGAGCTCATCGTCTCATTCAACGAATTCGAGTGACGATGATGACAGTCTCTCGGCGAAGTCCGTGCTGCAGTCAAAACTCTCCCAACTGGCGTTACAGATCATTTACTGCGGTGAGTGCAGTAGTTTAATTGGCACTGAGCCAAGACTCATAAGAAAGTTTCTAAAGTCCTCCTCGTATCATTCTGCACGTTTCTCCATAAACGTGATGGCAACTTTGATTTTGCTTTGCTATCTGTGTTCTGGCCATTCTATTTGCACATATCGATGAAGTAAACATTTCGTGAATGTGCATTCCACGTTTTGAGTGGATCAGGCGGACGGCATACAAATGTACTCAGCACTGTTGGTGCTCTCTACTTCTTGGTAAGAAAGCGCACTAATGATTGGTCTAAAGTGAGCTCAGCCACTTTCACACGATCAACGCGTAATGTGCACTTATAAGCAGCTACAGCTTTAACAGGGCTCTGAGAAAGAAGTATCTAGTTGGTTTCGAAACCGTGAGGAAATTCAAATAAACTCTGAAAAGCTTGAATCTTCATTCAATTTTCATAATTTCTTCGAGCGTTGTTTTTTTTCTCTAGGAACAACCGTTGCTGGAGTCGCCTTGATCGTACTAATTACGAGATTTTGTATTGAACACTATGTGCGCGATGGAATTCCGTTCAGCATATCAGATATTCAGGTAAGCAGGTTTTGAAATTTTGTGTAAACCGGCCGAAAAACCGACACCTTAATCGCCCACTATGCGAGCCCTGCGGTTGTGCTTTCCTTGAAGTGACGCACCGCTGCGGAATTAAGGGGTCGAATAAAGTGTGCAAAGTTGCAAAGTCCTTCCGCCCAACCGGCAATGGGGCAAGCTTCAACTGACGGCTAGAATCGCTATGGGGTCTCCTGGCATCCCAAGTCATTTCCATCTATGTTCTTAGTCGCTGCGGACGCCGGCCGTGTCCAGGGCTGTGGCGCTGCGTCAAGCCGTTCTCCACCAAGCTGTTGAAGCGAGAAATCGACAACGATTGGTGAAATAGAGGCTGGTGCTGCGCTATTTCACGCCCTCCTGGTGCGGCTCAGTATCCGCTGAGAAGAATGCTGTGCCTACCTATTTATCGAAGAGCTCCTCGTCTTGAAAATGGAATCTCTCCTGTCAATCCCGATTTCCGATTGCATTATTCAAGCGATATTTGTGTGGAAGCCTACCGTCTTCTGCTCAGTAGGTTAACGACCATATAGCTAACTCTCACGAAGCATAGAATATTGTGAATAAAAAAAACCGGAGGCCTGTACGAAAAGAAAGGAAACGCGTGAATCAGGGACAGGCTATTACTATGCTCAATTCAACTTCTTAAATTGCACGTGTTCCTCATAGCCGTATCCATTCTATTCCAGATGTTCGTCAAATTCTTCATCATAGCCGTAACGATCCTGGTTATATCTATTCCTGAAGGGCTTCCGCTAGCCATCGCATTAGCATTGACGTATTCCGTGAAAAAGGTGAGCCAGTTTAGACCAAAGAGCTTGCATGAATCAATCTTGTCAATCATTACCTCGAGTGAACTAGGTGCCCCGAGGGCTAATTCTGAGATAGATCTCAAACACGCTTGGTCGACCATGATTTCACACTTGTCCCTCTGAAATACTTGGCCCCTCTTTTGAACATTTATGACTGGCAGATGAGTCGCTATAGTAGCTTCGTTAGTCTCATATTCAGAAGAAACGTTAGAATTGACATGGAACCTAGAAGCAATCCACGAAGATCATGTGGGCGGAGTCTTCCTCATTAACACCCCTCATCTTCACCCAACTAAATGGAGTGCAGCGCGAAAGACGAATGCACACTGGCACATGCCGTCATGCAAGATGAAGGTTAAAGTTTTCGCCGTTGATCGATCTCTTTCTGGGATGCGGCACGCATTCCACTCCTACTCGGAATTGTAGCTCAGTAATGGCAATACGGCCTGTAGAATGATTGGCGGGGGAGCCGCAGTATAGTCGGTGTTTTTATCCTCCCAGACAAATCGTCTGCAAATTCGCCTGGGTTGCTTTATTAGAAAAAGAGTTTAGTGGTTGCCCTCTACACCACTTGCCACTGCACCACCTCGTCTTCAGAGTGGATTATGTCTTGAAAATCAGAATTAGTTTCCTTACCTGCGTTCTATCATAATCTCTGAGTTCAAAGTAATGCTACCAATATTTCGAACATTCACTTTCTCCTTCGCTTTTCTTTATAAATATGAATAAAAGGTAAATATAGATGATGCATGACAATAATCTCGTACGCCATCTGGACGCATGTGAGACTATGGGCAATGCGACGTCGATCTGCTCGGACAAGACCGGAACACTGACTACGAACCGGATGACCGTCGTGGACTCCTACATCAATGGTAATGGAATCGCCTCTTATTAATATCTGAGGGAAGATGCCCCTTCATTAGGTTCTCTTTCCCACATTTTTCACCCCCATAGAAAGGGAAGGAAGAGGCGCGAAAACGACGTCATCCGTTGACCCCGCCCTCTCTGCGGTGCTGAGCGGTGCCTTTAAGTAACATCCTGTTTGTTTCTTCCGAACTCAGAAGTTCAGTGAGAAGAAATATGAGCCGTTAAAAAACAAGAAAAAAACGAAAAGAACAGAACAGGCAACAAGCTTACTTTAGGTAATCATTACGAGGGTCAAGACAGTCAGCCAAATGGAAGCGCTTTGCCTGGAAATACGACTCATCTTTTATGTGAAGCGATCTCTGTAAATAGGTGAGTTGCATCACCATTACTACCGAGTCTCTTATGAGATCAACGAAAACCACTTTATAGCGCTTATAACTCGATGATCGTGGAACCAACAAAGCCCGGTGAACAAGTGCAACAGCTGGGTAACAAAACCGAATGCGGTCTACTCGGCTTCGTTCAACGACTTGGTGGCGACTATGCGCTCATTCGTAAGAACTTCCCCGAAGAGTCATTGGTGAAGGTGAGGAGAACTCTTGGAAATAACTTCTCGCCCAACATTTCTAGAACAACCGGAAAACTTCAAACTGGGTCCGTAATGGCTTTCCAACGACCTTTTCTACTGGTGGAAACTGCCGTTTGTAAGACCCATGTTAGGAGCGACGAAAGTTGTGTTGGGATTTGCATTGGACCTAAATGGCTTGGCGCAGAAAGATACAGTGTGTCAAGTCAGCCACCCAAGAAGTACTAGCTAGTTCGTGGGGGTTGCGAAGCATTTATCCCTCTAAGAAAGGTTCAAAATGCATAAAAATACCTGGGTTCATGGACGAACCGAAGTCTACTGCAATTTTTATTTAGGTGTAAAATTTTCAGGTGTACACATTCAACTCGTCTCGAAAATGTATGATGACCGTTATCAATCTGTTCGAAAATGGTGTAAAGGTCGGCTATCGTGTCTATTGCAAGGGAGCCAGTGAAATCATTCTTGGACGGTGAGTACTGAAACAATACAGTTTATCTGAGTGCGAAAAGGGGCGTATTTGTGAGCGGCGATGATTGCGAGGATCTACGGACAACTTGAACTCAAACCCTTTACCTGCGTTAACATTCCTTTTCTCTGCGCTCTCACGGCTGCATAACACCCTGTGACCTGGTCGACTTCACACATCCCAAGTTTTCAGCATGATAAGCGGCTCACCTCGATTCCTCCGGAGTTCCCCTTAAAAAGTTCATTCACTGGCTTGCGACATATTTTTTTTGCACACCCGTAGTACTCCATTTAACTGCGTTCTAGATTGTCGTGACAGGATCACCCAAAGCTGTAGGCATCATGTAACCCCCAAAGGCCCAGACGGAGTGTAGCAGAGGCGAGTGTTGGAAGATGAGCGTCTTCAGGTGAAAACGCCGCCGACATTAAGGTGACCTTTTACCCTCGGATATGGGCTGCAGTAAACTTCCTCATGAGAAAAAGGATAGGAAGTTGCCAAAGCGCTGAAAACGTAGAGAGCCGAGATGTGAATGTGATTACGTCAAGACGATCACTCTCATGCGTAGAAATTGAGCTACCTTCACAACCCATGGGAAAAGTTAGAGCAGCGAGAGGCAGGGTCACGACTATATTCTAGGTCCCTGACTCTAATAAATAATGATGAAAAACGGTATACCGCCACAATGCGTATTTTTTTCTCAGTTTCCACCAAGAACGACTATTTTGAGGCAGAGGCTCCGCGGTGAAATTTAGAACAGAATGGAACATTGAGAGTTCTTCCATCGCAGAACGCGAGTTGCACGATTATCGATCAAGGTGGTAATGAAAAGTTCGTTTTTAGATGTGCTTACGTCATCGGATCCGACGGCAAACCTCATCACTTCTCATCCGAACGAATGAAGGAGATTACGGCTACCGTAATCTCTCCTATGGCTAATAGTGGTTTGCGTACGATTTGCGTCGCCTACAAGGACTATATTCGCAAAGACGTGCGACAAGCCGATCGAACGGAGGTTGGTTCGCTTATCACAGTGATAAGGGGGGGGGATAACGTGATTAGGGGTGTGGTGGGCCCGGGATCGAGAGCACGATCAACTACTGAAAATTCAATCAATACTCCCAGTCGAGTTACTGGAGAACGATTCTGATAATCGATTGGAATAAACGAGCCAGCGAACTCCCCTCCGCCACCACAATCTTGTTGGTATCGGCAAATCTGTGGTATACAGGTGAGTATAACTGTAATTAAAATTCCTATACTCTAACACCGAAATTATTCCATTCAGGAGCACCTGTCAGACCCGAAAACCGCACGCTATCGAGCGCCTGTAACCCACACAGCCCCGCCCTATCACTTACTGGTGCGCATGGTCACTGGTTTGACATATTTAAACGACTGGCCAGGTTTGTATTGAGTTCCTTTCCCTCTGTGTGGAAAGAAGCGGAGCACTACGTTGTCTACGTCTCTGTCTGCACTATGTGTGTTTTTAAATCACAGGCGCGTGCGGTCGCAAAGCGGCAACTGAGAGAAGCAAGTTGTTCTGAAGATCGTTACCTTTCTTTTGCTCTTGCTTTCCGCCTTTTGCAAGAGTTTGTTGAAAGAGTCAGATCGTACGCTCTGCGACCGCTCATGCCCGGTACCCTACATGTCCTGCCCCCTTGTACTCGAGAGGATTATGACAATCCTATCAGTGGCACCGCAATTGTTGCCTGAGAAGGGAATGATGCCATTTTCTGGTGAGTTCATGTCGTTTAGCCCTCCGAATCCACTAAAAGTTAGTTTACTCGGAGTAGTGATGCACCAATCAATAGCTATTTTTAGAGCCATTGCTATGTCGTGCCGAATTCTCGAGCCCGGCGAGGACTTTTTGGCCCTTGAAGGCAAAGAGTTCAATGAGAGGTAGGCTCTCCACTTGCAGGCCCACTCTGGTGACGTCATCTATTTTCGGAACTTACCTGATTCTTTGAAGGATACGTGGCCCAGACGGTAAAGTCTCACAGGCGAAACTGGATGAAGTCTGGCCACGCCTTCGAGTGTTAGCTCGAGCTCAACCGGCTGATAAGTACACCTTGGTGAAGGGTATCATTGAAAGTAAAGCCACACCTCAGAGGTTCATTGATTTTATCGAATAAAATTCCTCAACATTTTAATCCTCTATTCTTCCAACATCTTAGCGATTTTCTAGGGAAATTGTCGCTGTAACTGGAGACGGCACCAATGACGGTCCAGCTCTGAAGAAAGCCGACGTCGGTTTCGCTATGGTAAGTTGGGGTGCTCCAGTGAACGTGTTTCCCTAGCCATCACGAGTGCATTCTACACTTTCTGGGAAAGTCCTTTTCATTTCTGTGGCAAACCTAGTCCTCAAATTCGCCAGATGCAGGCTAGAAGCACGCTGGCAGGTCCATATGCTACGGGCGGTTCACGCCCGTGCTCCTTGTTTGAGATACTAAAAGAAGCTATTTGAGGGTATCGCAGGAACCGATGTAGCTAAAGAGGCTTCAGACATCATTCTTACGGACGACAACTTCACTTCAATCGTTAGGGTGAGGTTCACGTGGTATTCAAATTGAAGGTAGCAAAGAGGCTAGCCGAAATGACTGGACTTTGCTATACAAACTTCTGCTCAATCAACTTCCGAAACAATCTGTGCTTTGGCGGTCAGCTTCTGTGACCATTAAACTTTTGCTTGCAGGCTGTTATGTGGGGTCGTAACGTCTACGATTCGATTTCAAAATTCCTGCAGTTTCAACTCACTGTCAATGTCGTTGCTGTACTCACTGCATTTGTCGGAGCTGTCACAGTGTCGGATTCACCACTGAAGGTCTGATTGTAATGTTGTTTTTTTTGTCGAAAATATTCAGTGCTTTGAGGGCCCAGTCCTTTTTAGCCACGTGGGCGGTGTTAGGTCTATAAATGCGCATCCATCCTTGGCTCACGCTTCCTGTCCAAGAGATAAAGAGCAGGGGCAAAGGAGAAAGCACAATGGTGGACATGAACTATTTGAATGCTGCTGAACTTATTCTCCATTCGAACTCCTCCTTGTCCCTGAGTTCGTTATCATGTTTTTTAATCGAAAAAAATAATTTCAGGCTGTTCACATGCTTTGGATAAATTTGATCATGGACACGTTAGCATCTTTAGCTTTGGCCACGGAAGTCCTACTGATGAACTGCTGAACCGCAAGCCATATGGAAGGTAGGACTTCAATATAATCATGTATCAACCCTCAGTCATAGGTTAACTGATAATTTCTTTCACTTTTAGGAAAAAATCTCTTATTTCACGAACCATGGTGAAGAACATTCTCTGCCATGCCCTGTATCAACTTTTGATTCTATTCACAATCTTCTATTACGGTAAGCTAAATTGTTAACAATACGGTAAATTTCGCTAGGTAACCGAGTCATTGCCTCAATACTGCTTTTTTTTCTACATCACATCAATAGTATTTTAAAATCGCGGCTATTGAACTGAATATTTCTCCTAAACACCCCTCCGTCCATTCACTACATACCCGTGGCGTACGGCGTGATGTGCCTACCACAGTATAATTCACAGCGTAGTAATGGTTGATGACCTCTGGTGTTACTGCACTGTTAATTGCTATTTTTACACTAATAGGCTTTTTCTTCATTTTGTTTCTGCGGCAATACTCCAGCATAGTGTCCTGTTGTTGTTTTCTTAAGTAAAAGACATACTATTATAAGTTTCCCGCTGTTCTTTTTTTGAACAAGGGTCGCTATATTTCAAAAATCGGTGAAATCTGAATAGGTGGAGTTGGTATCGTCGCAACAAGTCGGGGAGGTGTCAAGAGAGCTGCAATGAGCTCATCTGCACCTTTTCCACCTCTGGTGTTTTCTTTCCGTAATCAATCACCTCTCGATCACTATTGGTGGAGAAAGACAGCCGGAAGCTGATCATTTTGCCTCTCCTGAAACCATTCAGCTAGAATGCGAAGATATCAGCAATATGTGCTGCAGTATAGCCTATTACTCAGGCATTACACAAGCATGAAAAGACCATCTGACTCGTACCCCTCAAGCGTACGCTGGAATCCTCGACGGGGGTTCGTATATCCTGGCCAAAGAAATGGGACTCGTTCCAGAGCTAGAGATTTTTTTGATTGTTGTTTCCTCTCCCACCCCCTCTCAGGCACGCCATTTGCAATCTTGTTGCTGCACGAGATGGAATCGTTAGTGAGGCTGAGTTTGACTCCCACTTCCTGCTGCCACTTCTCCACCAGTTGTTGAAGCGAGTAAGCGACAACAGTACGTGGGAAACGTATGATACGAACGAGGTGGTAACACTTTTTTGGCTGAAATAAAAAAAGAAGAAAAACAGACCGGTGCGACGCCAAACTTATCTCCCCTGACACGCCTCACATCCACAATGAACCAACGTGCAACTCCGTTGGAGATAGGGTGTAGAACCGGCGGAGGAACATGAGGAGGACGAGGTGTACGTATGAAGTGGGGGGGACTGACTTTCCTATTCGTTACTTAAAACTGACCATTCTTAAGCGGGTATTGCATCTGCACTCACTTCAAAGCATCAGGCGCAGCTGGGTCCTGCGTGGCCCATTTGTTGTTGGAGAAAGTATCCATGATCGGCCACCGAGCACAAACTGTTCTTTTGGTTATTTTTTCTAGGAGCGAGTAGCTATGAAATTCAATTCAGGTGACCGCATCTTCGGCATCAAGTCCGGTCTGTATGCACCTCTTTTCGCCCCACCTTCTCAACACTTCACTATCGTCTTCAATGCATTCGTCATGATGACCCTGTTCAACGAGATCAACGCCAGAAAGGTTCACGGCGAACGCAACGTTTTCAAGGCAGGTTTCATGTCCATCTTCTGCGCAACCTGCTACTGAATACAGTGTAAACTGCACAAAACAAAAATTTTTTTATATAATTGTCTACGAGGATGAGTCGAGCTGATCTTAAACTCTTCCCTGAACCCTCCGAGATAACATTCTCTTACAATTTGTTCTGTTAGCCTCAGCTTGGTGAGTGATATCCGAGGGGCTGTACACCGCGAGTTTTGTTGCAAAACACTTGATTGAGCTCACTCTGATCGCTACGACTCTGACTTCTACAGATGATATCGCTGCAATCAGTCGGGGCGGTATCCAAACGGAGGCGCGGAATGAGCTCACTCCGGCTGCGGCTTTTTACCAATGGTAATCTCTTTGGAAAGAAAACAACCAGAAAAGTAGAAAGCGCTGCGGGCGGGCTCATTTCATGCCTCCTGACCTTGCCCCGGCTGATTTTGACGATTCCTGCAAGCGACAAGGCTGGGACGGAGCGTGGGCCGAAGCGCTGCCAGGGCAGTTATTTTTACCACGATGCTAAAATGAGTGCGCAACGATTGGGTGAAGGCTGCCCTGCTGCTTTCCATTACACACCCCTTGATACCCCCTATCGTTGGTAGGGCCATGACTGTATGTAGGTGGGGAAGGGACTTTGCCACCTCCCATATATTCTCGCAGTATTACTCTTACCTCAAACGGACGGGCACATGGAAGGAAAACTATGATTCGTGAAAATGTCAGGAAAATTCGTCTGTACTCGGATGGTCTCGGGATTTTCACCGTTCATAGATCATTTCTAACGGACCCTAATTACCGGTTGCCATTTATTCATCACCTTACCTCATTCGGGTCGTACACATGGAACCAGAGACATTCTCTTTGTAAACTAATCCGTTGCCAAAGAGGCCCACACCACCCTATTGGGAACACCACACCTTAGTTTCGGTACAGTATCTTTAAGAACTTCGCTGAGAAAAAAATGGCCCAGTGCCCCTGCTAACAGTACGACTTTCATTTCAAAAGTTCTGTTTGTTCACCTCACTGCTCGTCATTAGGCTCTCCCACTAAATGATACTGCTGAAGTGGGAATTTTCAGGAATTATTTGAATTGATCCGTATTTCCAGGGACTGGCTAGTAATCGAGTATTTTGCGTGATTTGGGTGTCGACGTTTATCGGCCAAATTCTCATCACTCAGTTCGGTGCAGCGTGGTTCTCCACTGCTCCCTTGACAATTAAACAGGTTTGCGTACTGCAGCTCTCTATTTTTTCCGAAAAAAAAACTGATATGTTCATTTACAATTTTTAGTGGATCGTCTGCCTTGCACTAGGCGTTTCAACTCTTCTCTGGGGTCAGGTTGTGGCTACGATTCCAAGTAAGAAACTGCCCAAGACTTGGAAGGTCGGACGTGGAGAGGTGAGCAGTTCATGGTT